GATTTTCTCCCCCCCGGCATGCAACAGGCCGGGGCGCGACGGGGAGGCGGGTTGGCGATGCCAGGGAGGCTGCAGGGCGACCTGCCCCGCCGTGGGGAAGCCTCCCCAGCGGGAGGAATCGGTGGGTGCCGTCCTGGGCAAGGACGGGGCCGGCACACGCGGCGTGGGGCCGTGCCAGTGCGGCATGGGAGCTGCTCCGGCGCGTTTAAAGGCAGGGACGTGTGGCTGCCGGACGCTGCGGGCGCCGAAAGTTTGTATCGACCCCGGAGGTGCCGGGCTGTGTTTGCAGAACAAAAAGCTGCCCAGGCTGATAACCGCAGGCACCGCGGCCGCCGGCTCGGGGACGAGCAAAGGGAGGAGACGAACCGGCTGCCAGGCGGTGGCAGGGGGTCCCCTGGGACCGGTGATGAAATGGCTCATGTCTGTGCTGGGTCATTCCATGCCAGCCCGAACCCCGTCGGGGCTGGCAATGCAGCGGGGGACAGGTGCCCCTGCTCAGTGCTGGGTGCTTCACGGTGCCCGGGGTACCCGGCTGGGACTTGGGGGGAGCAGCGTGCGGATGGGGGGTGACAGCTCTGTGGATGGTCCGACATTGGTCACGAGATAGGTCTGCTCCAGGCTGACCCCACGCAGCTGTGCCTGCTCCTCAATCGCAACCCATGGCCCCATGTCCTTGCTGACATCCCTGAGCCCCTCCAGTCCCCCAGCAGTGATCCCTCTCTCCCTGCTGCTCATGGCTGTTTTCGGTCAAATCCCCCCCTCTTCATGTGTCTGGGACCGTGTCGCTGCCCACGTTGTGTCTGTGTCTGTTGCCCTTCCCTGCCTTATCATGTTTTTGTACAGAGCCCAGGTACGATAAACCGCTCAAATATTTGCAGAGATGTCCGCGTGCAGCCAAAGTGGTGAGCTCCTCTTGTTTGGTTGAGGGGCGGAATCCACTGGTGCTGTGATTTCCCAAGGGAGCACCGGCTCCTCACGCCACCACAGCCCCCCCGGTGTGGGGCTGGGCAGGAGGCACGGCACCGGACGCCAGGGGCTTGCTGTGGGGCCAAGCATGGCCCGAGGGTGGCTGTGACACCACGTGCCAGGATGGCATGGTCTTTGGGGTGCCACCCCGCAGGGCAGGCAGCTCCAGCACCCCAGGGGTGCAGGGCAGGCACCTGCCTTTTTGGCTGCAGGGTGACAGAGGCCGTGCTGCTGGTTCCCTGGGGACCTTGTGCATGGGTGGCACTGTTTGATGTCACCCCATGGTCCTGCAAACCTTTGGTGCAAGCGGTGCCCTTGGCAATGCTGGCAGCCCTCCTGTGCCCGTGGGGGGGTTCTGAGTGGCCGTGCCTAGCTTTTCCCTGCGGCACCGCCTGGCACCCTCTGCGCCAGCCCAGCACCAGGCACCACTTTGCCCCAGCATGGCTCGGGCTGGGCTGTCACAGCAGGACTCCGAAGCTGCGTGGCACTGAGGAGGACAATGCCTGCCTTGTTGCCGTCCGCCAAGGCAAGTGGTGGTGACCGGGACGCAGTCCCAGCTCCGGCCGGGCTCTTCTCCTCCCTCCTGGGCGGGGAGAGTGGACAGGAGATAAAAGGGAGACCAGGGCCAGCTGGGCGTTGCCGAGAGCCGCAGGGGCCGGGAGCGAGGTCTGGCCGGAGGACGGCAGGGAGGAGAAGTGCGGTATTGAGGGCTTGTTCTCGTGGGGGAGAGGGCTGGGGATTGGGGGTTCATCCATCCTGAGCAGACCCCACAGTCCCCTGCTCCCTCCTCACCTCCTGGATTGTCCCCCCTAGCCCCGTGTCCTCCTGCTGCCCATTAAATGTGCTGGATCCTGGAGGGACAGGGTGTATCTTGGGGTGGGCAGCGTTAGGCGGCTGTGGGAGGAAGGGGCTTCAGGCAGATATTGGGGGCAGGGGGGTTAAAGGCTCTGTGCACCCCTCAAGTGCTTCATGGGGCATCAAGGACTCTCAAGGTGACCTGAAGGTGAAACCATCCCTGTCCCACTGACTCCCCGCCGGTGGCTGGGACGATGGGGGCTGCATCCCTGCCCACTCCTGGGGCAAAGGCAGACCCCTGGCATGGCTGGGTCTGGCTTTCGGGGTTGGGGAGTTGGAGAAGGCCCATGGGGGGAGTGGCACCTTCATTCCCCGATGCATGGAGTGGGTGCCTCACTGCCGGGGGAAACTGGGTCACCTGGCTGACACAGCAGATGCCCACAAAAGCCAGCGGTGAGGGTGCTGTGCTTGTCGGGAGCTGGGCACTCCGATCCCCCTCCCTCATCCCCCTTTCCTCACGCTGCCGGCACGGGTGTCCCTGCTCCCAGTGCCATGCTGGGACCTGTATGATGGTATGATACTGCCCACTAGTCTTTGCCCAGGAGGGGTGTGCGGGGAGGTGGTTTGGGGTTGCAGTGGGGCTGGGAGAACCCCATCGGGTTGAGCCCCGGGGCAGAGGGGAGACTAACGCCCCATTTCCCCCTGCCAGGGCCGGGGGTCCAGGATGGGGCTGCTGGTGCTGGCCCTGGCTGCCTGGCTGGGGCTGGGGCTGGCCTCGGCCTCTGAGGGGGCGGCCAACAGCAGCCGGCTCTGCCAGGAGGCGCCGGCATGGAGTGTCAATGGCTTGAGCCCCATGGCGGGGGTGGCAGGGCAGGTGACGGTAGTGGCCCTGCTGAAGGCCAGCTGACACTTCTGCCTGCAGCAGGCCCACAGGTAAGCCCTGCTCCCCCTACTCCAAACCCAGCCCCGCCATCCTGGGGGACAGCATGGTGGCTCCCCACCCCAGCACCTCCCTCCCAGCATCTCCTTCCCCACAGCCTCGGGGGCCCGCGGGCCAGGAAGGACCGGCAGGGCACAGTCGACGTCCACTACATGATCATCAACGAGAAGGCACCGCTCTCCCGTGCCATGTTTGGGGAGCTGGAGCGCCAGGCTCCACCGGGTATCCCCGTCTTCCAGCCGGAGCCAGAGGAGCCCGACGTCTGGCAGGTCCTGGGGGGTGACAAGGACGACTTCCTTGTCTACGACCGGTAAGCGTCCCCCATCTCGGCTGAGGCTTTCCTGGGGGGTTATAGACCGTTTGGTGGGCTCCCCAAAACTCCCCCCAAGACTGGGCCGGGGGGACACCAGACCCCCCGCCTCGAGCCAGGCCGTGGCTTCTCTCCGCAGGTGCGGCCGCCTGGCTTTCCACATCCAGCTGCCCTACAGCTTCCTCCACTTCCCCTACGTGGAGTCGGCCATCCGCTTCACCCACAACAAGGACTTCTGTGGCAACTGCTCCCTCTACCCCAACAACACCCAGGAGGTAAGGAGCAGGGATGCTCGCTGGAGTCGGGCTCCCTTCTCTCCTCTGGCATTGCACATCAGGAAAAAAAAACACCCTTATCTTCATGTCGGGGACAGGCTCTGGGTTGGCAGCAGTCCTCATCCATGGTTGAGAGGGAAGGTGATGAAAGGTCTGGAATAAGGGCAGCTAAATAGGTCAGAGCTTTCAGGTTGAGAAGGAAGGGGTCATAGCCCAGGTCTGGAAAAGCTAAAGGGTCACTGAGGGTCACGGGCTTTTCTAATAGAACAGCCCCTTAGAAGGGGCAGGCAATGGACACAGAGGTGGCAAGTTCAG